CTGAACAGCCTCAGACGGGATTGTATAAGGATTACTGGGATAATGGAAAAGAAAATGGAAACTACTATAGTATACTGGGGTTATATGGGGATAATGGTAAAGAAAATGGAAACTACTTCAACAGGGTTATGCAGGGGTTCCTAACTTGACGGTGAGGATCATGGTCGTAACGACAATAAGGGGGTGAACATTGCAAGAAACACCAGCACGTAAAGCCTAGACCGTAGCCCCGAATCTCCAAACCTTGCGCACCCTAGGCATTACATGAACGCTAGAATTGGGGTATAACTTGGGTCAATCCCCCACCCAGTAATGGGTACCACAAGGTACTATTGTAGGTATATTANNAGGGGGGATTGACCTAAGGTATAACCTACCTTACCAAAGACTCTGCCACCATGCCGGGGCTATGAACCGTTTAACGAAAGCCCATTTCAAACAATTCCATTAGCAGAAGAATCCAACATCCGCCCCTGTATTCCACGATCCTTACTGTAGGTCTAGGGCTCCAGATAGCCCAATGTAGGTAATATGTATAGACTATACGGCTCAAGGTAGGTATCATTTGTAGACTTGGAGCCCTGAACCCTAAACCCTCGAGGGTAAAGATCCACCAACAAAGGGACCCCTCATTGCTGGGAACCCCCAATGTACACTAAACCTAACTAAACCTAACTAGACCCTAAACGGATTTAGGATGCAGGGCTAAGCCCTAAATCCACATGTGCCACAAGGCAAGAAGCGCTCGGTTGCCGCGTCTTCGTCGTTGGGCGCCACTTCAGCAGCTAGATCCTCTAGGCGGAACAAGGCTTTAGGGTTAGGGTTTGAAGGGTTGATGGTTTGGGTGTAGCATGTTCTTTTTTTGGATTAGGGTTAGGGGTTTGGGTTTAGGGTTGTAAGATGTTGTAAGGTTTAACTTACTTAGACGCGAGGGACCTTCAGTTGTTGAAGTCTGTATGACTACCAGAATCGCAACTGGGCTTCTTAGTTCCAGTATGCTAAACTTTGGATACTGCCCCCACTCAGTACCAGCTGGATAATAAGTAGAATATGGTTATATACGGCCGGACCCCTGATTCAGACTGTTACTGGGTAGGGGCAGTACCCAAGGCTAAACTGTCGACAGGGTTGCAAGCAAACCAAGCTTGGGGCCTGGGATGGAGTATCGCTTCAAGACCAGGTAGATTTCAATTCTGGGAAACGGTTTTGTCCTCTAGGCTATGCTATGGGGTAGTGGCAATTGTGCTAGGAATCCCCACCTCCTATTCCTACTAAATCCCCAGTACTGGATAGGGGCCTAACGCAACCTCTTGTTTGGGAATCTTTGCAGATGGCGCAGGCTTAGGGTTGATAAGGAGGTTCTTTGAGGGGTGCGTTCAAGGGGGGCCGTAGACTCTTCGTGATCCCCCAAAAGCACATGCTCCCCACCTAGCCCTAACCCTAAACCCTCTCCCTAAACCCACCCCAAAACCGAAACCCACCCCCACTTGAGGAGATTGTGAGGCTCGCCATCAAGGCTTGGAATTCATAACTGTCTGGCTTACCGTAGCTTAGGACATTCAACTGTCCTTCGGGATAAATTGGGATATCCCTGTGTAATTTCCAATACACTAGGTCCAACTCCTTCTCCACCTCCGGAAGACTACACCCAAAAAGATACATCCATTCCACGCCCTACTAGCAACCATTGAGCCTTCACATAAACCATAATAGGGATTAGGGTTTAGGATTCAGGGCTTAGGGTTTAGGATTTAGGGTTTTAAAGTTAGGGTTTAGGTTTTAGGCTGAAAAAACCCTGAGTGTCCCTATTGATCCCCAGCTCCCATATCACTTTCCATTTGCTTCTCCATGTCATGTTCCACTCTCTGCTAGCAAGCAGTATGTCTTGCCCTGCGCGCTGCGCTCTCGCGCACCATCACCCCGCCCGCCCACGGCAGCACATCTTACCATGTGAATGCGCGCGCTGAATGACTAGCAAAGTATGAGAATAGGGCCCGATGGCATACTATACTACAAGTATAGAAAGGTTGCAACGGGATAGGCAGCATCTGCGCCCTGGAGGACTCTCTGGTAAAGTCTCCCTTTGGAAGGTCAGCAAACGTGGGCTGAGAGTAAGAAGGGGACTTTGGTAACCACAACCCTTGTGATGGGGTTGCAGTTAGCAAGCAAAGCTACATCAGGAAAGAAGGTGCCCAAAAAAAAAGCACTCTGTGTGTTTAGATTTTAGGACACCTAAACCATACTTTAATAGGGTGCTGTTAAGAAACATGAAACAAGTTACCATGATATGAGTATATGGTAAGTAATGGGGTTTCTTTGTTATAGTAACTTACTCAAAGTTCCTTAACAGCAACCCAATTTGGGATTAAGAGCTTCCACCTACAGCCTACTGGAGAAGTTGGGGGAACACGGGGTCACGCCAAGTTGTCTGAATAAGGGTCTCTCAACAGAGGGCGGCGTAGGGACCCGGCATATCCCTAGGCACTATAGGGGCTCTAAGTGGATTGTAAGGCTGACGCTTCGGGATTCTGTAGGGAAAATTCACCCCCAAATAACTCTAAAGAAAGATCAGCGGCACGGCATCCCCAAATTATTCCTGACGTATAGACCCCACATCCTACGCCATTTAATAGCACCCCTAAACAGACCAAATAGTGACAACAGTCTTTTTGGAAAACAGGGCTGCCCGCGAGGGTCTCTAAATAACTCTACCCGACGACTCCTTCATAATCCTTACACGTCCCTCAGGTGCATGGTGCAACTTGTTTTGAGCATCCCATAGCTTGTAAGACTTGAAATTCTGGTCTGCCCAAATGGACACCCTACATGTACATATATACACGCTCGCCAGCTTCCCCGAAGAAACCTACACCCATAAACACTCCCTCAAACTCATTATGCAATCCCCAAACCCTAAACCCTAAATCCTAAGCCCAGTCCCTAAAACCAACTCACTTAACTGTCTACCTGACACGAGCTATAGTCTAAACACCCTAAACCCTAATCCCTAAATCCTAAACCCTAAACCCCTTAACATCCCACGGGCTGACGTCCTCCGGTGCAGTCAGGGAGTCTGTGTAGAGAAACCTTAGTCGTTCTTCGGATTTGGGTAGCTGGCTATTACCGTATTATTCGGGTTTAGGGTTTAGGGGGTTACTATGAGGGTTTAGGGTTGAGGAGTTAGGGATTGGGTTTTAGGGTTCTAGGGTTTAAGGCTTAGGGTTTCCCAAAATTAGGGTCCCATTTTAGTATCCCTAAATATTAGGTGCCGTAATATAACCTAGAACCAAAGGGGGCCATAATTTTGAGAACAACCCATTTACTTGGAAGTTCAGTTTCGGGTTATAGACTTCAGGGACTCAGGGTAGTTCTCACAACCACTGTGACCATATGAGGCGACTTGGGAAGCTTATAGTTGGGTTTGACATGACATACAATTAGGTTCTGTTTCGGAGGGAGTTGAGGAAGTTATCCTTCCAGTAGCCCCTTTGTTGTACTTTCCAATGGTCCTGCTATCCTGCTCCTTAGTTCCCTAGTATTTGGGGCTGGAGGGTCACCCATCTACCCTTTGAGAATGCTATAGTCTATAAAGATCCCAAAGCCCTTAAAAAGTACCAAGGGCCCGCGGTCCATGTAGGGCCTACTTGCCGGTACCTGGCCCTGCCCCTGCACCCTACACCCTAAACCGCAAACCCTACACCCTAAGCACTGCTTAAATGCGACTTTCTCAGACCTTGAAACTCGGGGAAGATACATATATTACACCATTGTTGGTTCGAACCCAAGCCCCCCAGCCTTCCTATATATCATACTTGTAGGGTCAGGTAGTAAGTATACTTATAACCTCTATAACTCATAAAATCACCTTGGCTATTCCAACTATTCCAACTAAACCCTGAACCCTACAACCCTAATGCAGGCCCATGATTCATACTAAACCCCCTCCTTTTAAGGGCCTTAACATTAATAGGATCCCTATTATCATCCCTGTTAGGAAGATGGGTTCATTCATCAGGGGTCTGGGTTAGCTTGCTCAGTCCCTCCGACCATCAAGGTATGGGGAGTCGCCTGGCCTGAAAGGCCCGTGACCGACGGTGCTACCAAGTTTAGGGTATAGGGCTTAGGGTTTAGGGTTTAGGGGTTATGTGGCTTCCCCACACTAGGGGTACTTTGGAGTCCCCATAACAAGGATTGTAATATTTGTTGGGTCGAAATTTGGGCTCCCCTATTTATGGCAGACAAAAGAAAAACTACAATTGGTCGCCACGCTAGTTGTACGACCATCATCTCAGCCATAGTCTAAACTCCTAGTATCCCCCTTAAGAACCCCTATAGTACTCCCCTATTTAATCCCCCCTATAACCCCCTGTAAGGAGTTTAGGCTATAGCTCATCTCAGCCTCATCGGATCACAGTCAGTCGACGGAAGTTTTTTTTCGCCGAACGAACAACTGAAACTGTCCCAGGCAGTGTTGACAAGAAGTGAGCGGCCTAATTCCACGTTGCGTTTCTCAAGGCGTAACAGGTTGATGAGGTATGCACATGCTCACTATGCTGCGATATCACCAGAACCTTCGAGGGGTTGAAAAGCTCCATTGCCAAATACATTCATGCCACGTGTGGGAACTTCAATTGGAACTTCTACCCAGACTGGAACTTCTACTCGTTCCACTCGCACAGGCGGTTCCCAAGCATCAGTCTGCATTGCCCTGTCCACTGGCGGTTGCCGCCTTCCCTTTACTCTGAGCCCCTGTATCACTAGACTCTTTTTTGAGGGTTTTGGGTTGTGTTTTTTTTTTTGCATCATGTGGCATCTCCTTAAACCTCTGGCGGTCCCCTAACAAGTGGGGGTGGAAACCATAAACCCTAAACTCTCTGGCGGCCCCCTGAAGCCGCCCTCAGTTGCTCGGGCTCGGGGGATTGATTTGACTTCCCTCTGAACTGCAGCGAACGAAGGATTTCAAAAGAAACTATGGTTTAGGGTGTAGGGTTAAGAAAACAGTAAAATTGTAGGGGACTACACAAGGCTCAATTTCTTCAGTTCGGCTAAGCCGGCTAGGCAAAGGCAGGCTGCAGGGCTGGATTTCGCAAGGACTCTAAACCCTAAACCCATTCAAGGGTCTTCCTGCGTTGACCTGAAACTCGTTAAACGGCTGCTGAAACACCTTGGCGCCGTTGAAGGATGTGCACTATTCATCCTAAACCTTATAGACATAGGCATAAGCCCTGAGTCCTGCAAACCTGCGTCGCTAAACCCCTCTTCGCAAGCCGCCCGAAACCCACAACCCTAAGCCCTAAACCCAAACCCTAACCCCTAAACCCTGAACCCTAAACCCTAAACCCCAAACCCCAAACCCCAAACCCTAAGCCACCTAGGGGCTTCAGGAGCAATCGGAACGTGTTGGCAGCGCAATCGTCAATTTTGATGGTCTTGGTAACGGACTCCTGCGCCAATGCTTCATGCCAAACATTTGCAATTCAGCGTTTAGGGGGTCCCTTTACGATGGCTATAATATATATATATACATATATATTGATATACATATGTAAACACACATGCATAGGGACATGCAGGGTCATGTGAATAGTAACCTAGTAAGATGAGATTCCGTATTAAAAGTACTATAACCCAACGCAGGAGATGATCTTGCTCATATTGGGGGGCTGTAGTATCCAAATAAATTACTACTACTACTACTACTACTACTACTACGACTCATGTGAGCTAGATAGGAAGACGTGGAATCTGTAGGGCTTTGTATGTCCAACCAATTAGGGGTCCTGTTCGGTGAGGGGAACCAGGTTTTTGGAAATCCTAAGCCCTAAACCCTAAGCCCTCCGCTTCTCAACCCCAAACCCCGTATACTATACCCCTAAACACTTACTGTAAATTTAATCCAAGAACTCGTTTCGCTGTCTGAAGGTTGATAGGAGGCCACCGTGGAAGTCAAAGGGGTTTCGGGTTTATGGCGCAGGTTTTATTAGGGTATAGGGCTTGGGAACCTTAAACCTAAACCCTAAACAGTAGTTTCCATCTTCCATTATCCCAATAATATAGCCCCGATATAAACTCTAAATTCTACAAGGGGCTTGGGAAGCCCTGAAAGAGGTTTATGGATTGCCCTAAATCCTAAACCCCTACACCCTAAACACTAACCCGTAGACCCCTAAACCCTTAAACCCTAAACCCTAGGGGCTTATGGATTGTCCCAAGTCATGGCTGGTATTTTGCGCAAATCTTTTTTGGTGCACCAGAGGGAGCCTGGGAAGTACAGTCCTATATAGTCATCCTGGGGTTTAGGGTTTAGGGTCCTTTAGGGTTTAGGGTTTAGGGTCCTTTAGGGTTTAGTGTCCTTAAGTAGCTAGAATATGGCATGGGTTTAGGGCGGGGGTTATGGGGGTTATATAGGGAGAATGGAAAAGAAGATGTAAACTACCATGTAGGGTTTCGAGTTTAGCCGCCCCCCCTAAACAAATAGAAGCTGGATAGATGGCGATCTTGTTATAATATGCCCAGAGCAATATTCTGCCTACTTAAGGGGACCATGTAGCTTTCCTTCCTAATACCCATATCTTTTGTGTTATCACTCTTACTATATAGGCTGGCATTCTAGTACGTGCCACATTGCCGGCTTGATGCCCTGTTGTATCCTTTGGTTCAGGGAATACTTGGAGGGGCAGGGGAACTTAGTAAGTAGGTTAATGACCGCTACAGACCATATAGTAACCCCAGCCATCNNGTCCCCCTGACCCTCCCAGTACTGTAAATAATTTCTGAGTCGCTTCAGAACCCAGAAGCAAAAACTGCTAGAATAGGCACGGCGCTCTGCAACAAAGGCGGAAGCGCGGGAAAACACTTTAAGGTCTAGGGTTTAGGTGGCTTCAAAAAAAAGAAAAGAACACGGTTTTGGCTCAAACAGCAAAACCTCTTGGGATCCTAGCCGGAATCAAAAGCCGAAGCCGTACCAATACATTAGAGGATCCCGGATGGCCCTGCTCAACAACTGGAAGGTTTGTCGAAGGGGGTGAAGAAAAAACAACATCAGTTAGGTGGACCCCCCACC